AAATTATTTAAATAAAATTAAAATTAAAAAAATACCTCATTTAAGAATGGAACTTTATTCTTATTAGAATCTTTTACGATCTTGATTGCTACTTCTTTATATGACCCAGATTGATTTAAATATTTGGTTCTAAAAAACTGTAGAAAATGCTCCTAAGCCTATTTCTGAGATATTTTCAAATTTATCAAATTAGCTTTTATAGTAAATATATCACACGAATAGGTGCTAATATTAAAAAAGTTAAATACAATCAAGATTGGACTAAAAATTCAACTAAAGTCAAAATTCCAAAAGATCAAGACTTAATTAATATTTGTCGAAAATGTGTTAATCAACACAATCAAAGCGAAACAGTAGATCTAACAATTAAAGAATCTTTATCTTCCATGACAAATACTTTTGAGTTATTTAGCTTGTCTGAAGTAAACACAACTAATTCAGAAATTAACAGTGAAAAAGATCCTAAATTGAATATTATTAACATGAAAAAACCTGAATTAGAAGCCTGTTTTCAAAAATGTGTGAACAACGATTTCATATATGAAAGCAAAACTATTCAGACCCAATTTGCCATATTATGAAAGCTAAAAGATTTTAAATTTTATAGTCTTTCAAAAGTTTCTAACTATCAAGTTTGGTTTTAAATAGTTGAATTCGGCACACTCCAAGAGTTTATGTAAAAAATCGAAGAATTTGGAAATTTAAATTAGTAAAAATTAAACTTTCTGATTAAAACAGGTCTTGAAAACTTCAGAAATCTGGAAAATATAGTGAATTCCCCATGACATGGTGATCTGCAACCATTCACACCTTTTTGAAAACAGCTGTAATACGAAAGAGCCTTTTATAAAATTGAAAATATGTACCTTTTTGTACATATCCAAGTCGGTGTATAGGCCTTCGAATTGTTGTAAGACTAATGTTACGTCTCAATCTTGGATTGTAATTCAAACAAGTACCAGTCAAGTTTTTCTTTCCTTAAACCTTTTTCATAACGTGGTTTTCTTGAAAGCAATGGAAGTTTTCAATACAACCATATTTTTGAAAATGTACAAGAACCTGACTTTTAAAATTTTTTTTGATTTTAAATTACATATATTACATCAATTTCCACAAATCACTGGCAGTAATCATCACCGATTATACAGGGCTAATATGTATAAAAAGATAAGTTATTTAATTTTTTTTATGTATTTATTTTTTTATTATTTCTTTTGTCATATGTATTTATTTTTTTATTATTTCTTTCTTCCTTTTTAAAGATAGTAGATTTATCGTTGGTGTCATCCATTCGGTTCTTCTTTTGTCGACTGGTGTCTGTTCTTTTTTGTAGGTTGGTGCCTTTTCTTGCATTGTCGGTGTTGTCCAGTTGGTGCCTTGCGTCGTTGGTGCTTTTGGTGCCTTGCGTCGTTGGTGTCATTCTGTTCGGTGTTTTTTTTTTGTTTGTTGGTGCTTTGCATCGCTGGTATCTTTAAGTACGGTGTTCACTTGCGTTTGGTTAGTTCGTTCTTTGTTGGTTTCATCCATTTCGACTTCTTTTCTTTCGACATTTGTTATTGTTGAATTCTGCCTCAGGAGCGTATTTGTTTGTTTGTTTCTTTTTTCTTTTCGTTCTGTCATTTTTTTCGTAACCACATTCGTTTTTTTCGTGCGGTACTTTGAATGAGTTTGTGTATGAACTTTTGCTAACATTTCTTTTTGTTTCTAGATGTTACCAAACCTTCTTAAGGCGTATGATGTTCCAGATCAATTTTTGAGTTAGTTTTCTTTTTTGCCTTGCTTGTCATACTGGTGCGTCATTGGTGGTAGTTTCATGTGTTGTGGATCTATGATACGTGAATACGTTCGCTTGTCGAAAATTTTGCATGCTTTGTTGGAATTGTGTGATACTTTATTTGTTAGGGTTAGGTTAGGTTCAGGTTTTTTAGTATTGTGATTTCGTAGTTTGTATCCTGGTGGTATATATGCCTGTATATTATTCGTTTTTCTGAGATCGAGTTGATGACATTTTGGTGATATGTGTTTGCAACATTGTAAAAATGTTCATTACGATTGTTATGATAATAAAAAATGATAATATTCATTACGATAATAAAAATGTTCATTACAATATAAATAAAATTTTTTTTATTTAGTATTTAATAAATTAAAAAAATGTAATATTTATATCATATATCGATTACGTGATATAGAATGCACCATGGTGCTGAAATTATTTTGAAATATTTCGAAATAAATTGCGTAATATTACATAGTAAACTGCGTAATATTCTATAATAAATTACGCAATATTCCATAATAAATTGCGCAATATTATACCCAGAGTGTAATTCTTGTGCAATATTACAGGCTGTAATATCTTACGTAAGATTATAGTTATATATTTTGCTGATGACTGTTTCTCTGTCCCAATCAATTGCAATGTACTAGCCAGGATCTTCTTCCTTCTTTCTTAATAAATTCTCATACAAGGATGCTGTATCATTTGAAATATCTTTCCACTTCTTACAATAAAATTTTGGATTGCCTTGTGAACTTCAGAAAGATAAATTTTACGATCAGAAAATTCTTTCTCTAAAGCTTTTTTGATTTGTAATAGTTTTAGCTTAATTGTTCACACATTTCTTGTATAAATTCAATGCCATTAAAAAATCTCTCTCTATTAGGAGATAGAATATGATTATGCGTATTGCTTAAAGTTGTAATATAGACAAAACCATGTGGATTGTTCTTTGTTGGCTGTAACAAGTTTATATACCATGGACACTTTATGTATTTGGTATTCGTTTTCTTAACTAATTGCTTGTTTCTTGGCTTATACTCGCCACTATGTTCACAATCCATTGTTTGTTTGCATATAACCTCGTTAGAAGTTTTTTCACTGTGGCCTTTTCTTAATCCAAACTCTTTCTGTTAAGCATATATTGTTATTATATCTAATGCTTCTTCTCAGCTTTTAAACATTCCTCTTTCATGTAAATCTTCTTCAAAAAAGCCCAACTCCTCATTCTCCTGGATAGCAGCTACAGAATTATATGTTGATCCATTATCACGCTCAAGATTACCCAAGATGTTATCCTTATTATAGTAAAGAATAGTATAAATAAAAGTAAGTATAGAGAATAAGCAATATAAGTATGACATTACAATTAAACTCTTAAAAGTTTTAAGTGTTACTTTAGCATATAATTTGGCTTTTTACAATATATACTACTAGGTTTTTATTGAACATACCTTTATTACAAAATTATTTTAGTCATGGTAATTATGCCGTGGTTAAGCCTTATTTTGTCATGGTTCTGTCTTATCTTCACTACAGAGTATTATGTTCGTCTTTGTCATGTGGTATGTTTTGCCTTCATCATGGGGCAATGCCTTAATTTCGTTGTGAGGCAATACCTTAATTTTGTCGTAGAATGTGCCTTATTTTTATATAAGGTATTCTTATTACTAGATTTATATTTTTGTTGTTTTCTATATTACTAGGCTGAATAATACTCTTCCTGTTCCTTTCATTCCTTTATTACCACCAACTTTAATTAAGGCTCAGATTAAAGCTCACGTTATGACCAAGTTAATTTTACAGAAATCAAAGCAAGGTAAAGAGCCTTTATACCTACCTTTACTTTTTTTTAAAAAAAAAATCGTCTGCTGCTTGTTGTCTTTAAAAAAGGTAATATAAATATGCCCAAGTGCAGTTATACGTATCAGTAGATATTTTGATCGCCCAATTAAAATTAGCATTAGGTATAAATAGTAATAATTGGCAAAAGAATTTGGTTGGTCTGTGTGATCAATCAAATTCAATTTGTCAAAAATAAATTAGTAAGCTATAAAGATTACCCAAGCGGACTTACTAAAGTTCGGTGTTCAGTGCCACAGTATCTAATATTTGTAACTCTAACAAGGGCACTAGATGCTGCGGCTAAACTTCAATGGTTTACCCTGGGGTAATCTGTCGTGAAACCATTTCCAATTTGGAGGATGCATTGCTACACAGGTGCATGGAAAACATTTTTTCTATTTTTTTAATAAATAAAGTTTTTAATATATTATATTTATATATTATTGATACAGAATATACAGAATACATTAATATTCATTAATATTTCTATTCTATGTTCACCATTCATTATTAACAAAAGAACTGAATTTAATTTTAACATACACCAAGCAGAGATTTAGAATTACTTACTTCGTACAATAATATTGTTTTATCGACTGCATAGTATACTGAAGATAAATCGCTATTTATTGACTTAAATTCAAGTAAACTTAAAGTAAGTAGATAATAGCAAGTTTTTATTTTATATTCTTATTATTATAGATTAATGTCTATATTATATACAAAAATAGAATTAACTTGGCTAGCTATCAATTTAAAAATTGAAGTTTATATTTTTTTTAACATTAATAAATAAAAAACTTATTAATTATAAAATATTATAAGGAATTGCGTGCCATCTACTTACCATTTTGAAAGACAAACTATAGTCTTGCGATGGAATTAGTTTATAAGGACAATTAGTAGAAATGAACTTTAGCAATGAAAATTTATTCAAAAGGTTAAAGATGTGAGAAAAAAAATAAACTCTGTATCTCATCTTTCACATGTAGGATTAGACCTTAATTATTTAACCTATATGGTTGTCTTGTTAGCATCTCTTCAAATAGTTTGTATTATCAAAAACATAACTTTTGCAATGTAAATAATGTGTGAATAACATATTGTTTGCTTTGTCTAAGTAATTATAGTATATACTAGAAGGCAGAATCTGTGAAAAGTCTGAAGCATAAAAATTAAATACAGTATAAGCTGTTTAAATTTTTTATTAATATATAGTATATTTTTTTAAAAAAAAAACAAAAAAAACAATAGTACAATAATTTATTTTTTTAACCTTTGGCAATCCTGCCTTTATTGTATTAGGAGTGTGTAATCTAAATACATAGTTTCGAAACAAAAAGCCTGCAATAAACTCAATGTCCTCCACCCTCCTACTCTTCAATAAAGACTCACTCAGCTGCTTGTAATGGTGCCCAAGTGCGATCTGCCGCAACAATAATTCATTCATCTCCGGTATCTAACTTGCTAGATAGCTCCCCAAAAGAATCACTATAAGCTTACTGCTAGCTTTGTCAAGATTGCCTTTTTCTTAATATTTTTCCTTCTTCAAAGGGGCAAAGTAAATGGGGGAAATAAAAACAACAAAAACAAAAGAAAATGAATATGACAAAAAAAAAACAAGAGAAAAAGAAAAAACAAAAAAACAAAAAAAAGAAAATATATATAAAAGAGAAAATGACAAAAAAAAGAAAACAAAAAGAACAGCAGAAAATTCTGTCTTTTTTAGTACTACTATTACTCGAGCCAGGCTGAAAAATTATATAACAAATATAATATTTGTATATCTCTAGTATAAAGCTTTGCCTTATCAAGTAAATTTTTCGACTAAGTCATCTGGACTTCTAAACAATGTAAGCGGCCAACCTCGGTATTACATAAAGCAGCACAGTCCATAAACAAAACAAACCAGACATGTGATCACAGTTTGCTAGAACTGTCCAGATTTAGTAAGTGTAAACAATGCCAATCTTTTAGAGAGGGTAAGCTGTTTTGCCCACTTTTGTGGGAAATTTTGGAAGAGCAATGAGAAGGTGGAGAAAAGAGACAAAACCACTTTGTTTTGTTTAATAAAGAAGTGTATATTTTCTTTACTCAACACATTGAATCTATAGGAAGGTGCCAGTACTCTCCTTATTTTTTCAGGTAAGTGATAAACTCTAAGCTTGTTGGCAAATAGCATATGAGAACTATTTTTAAACGACAAGTGCCTGGCCCCGCGGTGAGTAATAAACTCTAAGGAAGTTAGCAGGTAGTGTATGAAAACTACCTCTAAATAACAACTGCCGAGTTACGGAGTTTAAGGATTACTTCCCAGTCTGTTTCAACCTTTACAGACACTTGTATTTTTTTTAGAATTTGTGGTAAAAAGGATTGTCGGGAAGAGTGTGTGTGATCAGCTTTTTGAAAAATTTGAGAATATTTAATTAAATAACAAAACAATTGAAATTTATATATTTTATTTTTTTATTTTTTTTGTTTTTTTTTTTTTTTTTTATTGGTTGGAGACTATGAATTCCCCGCATGCGT